AGATGTTTACATTTGAAATTCAAAACTAAAAAGATGTACATCAAGCAGCAATAAGTACATTATCGGACTTCCTTAGGTTACAGTAACTACAGTATGTTATCAGGTCTTAGGTAAAAGCGCATCGGCTTCTAGGTGTTTCAAAAAATGGTTAGGTATCTGGAAAAAAACCTCAAGTTCTCAAGTCTACGAAATAAGATCAGGTTTTAGGTCTCAGGAATCAACATAGCTCTTTATTTATAATTCAATAAAATCTGGACAAAAAAAGCTGATATTTGAGTTTAACAAAACAAAAAATTATTCAAAGTTTAACAGATTATGTCGAAATAGACTTTGTTTTAATCAAAAATGTCTGATCTGTTATCCTTTCAGTCCTGAAAGGAATAAGCATCAATAATAATAATGATGATATTAATAATATTATATTTGTTTGTTTTGTTTTGTTAGGTACATGTGAATAAAATCTTTTTATTTGCACTCTGCTGCCATCCACATTCATATGGCTGCAGTTTGCTGTGATATATAGTCAAACACGCACACATTATGTTTCCCAGCTCCTTGAGAGCACAGATCCTGCCGCTCCGCTGTCTCTCAAGGTTTTCCCCCCGTCTGCTCGGGCTCAACCAAGGTCAGCCACACCGCTGCAGGCTTTCTGCAACCTTGAGTGCCTAACTGACCGGGAAATGTGTGTTCTCCAGTTCCACCACCTATGTATCTTATAATGTCAATCAACAAACTACAGAGCCGGGCTGTCGTTAAATGTTCCAGCTTGCTGCCACTGGGACATTAGGTCACTCTACTAGATTTAATCGGAAAACAAAGGACGTTCAATCAAGGCCAAGCATTAAAAACAGGAGAAAGGTGTTAACTCTTGAGAAAATGTAATTTCAATTAAGTGTCTCTGGGTACAAAATATGACCTAAGGAATAATCTTTGATAAGTAAGGCTTAGTAAGGCCACTTTTCCATCTTTAAACACACACACATATATATATATATACATATATATATTTAAATGTTAATTTCTAGAAATCGAAAACAAATTTAGAAGATCAGGTTTAAAGTCTCTCAGGGTTTTTCTTTTATTTTACAGGAAGCATACATGACCAATATAATGCACAAGGCTACAAAATAAAAGCTTTTCTAAATTAAAGCAAATCTGATTTTTAGAGGATTAAAGCAGCGATCGTGAAAGTGTACCTAGGACCTTGGTTCTGATGTAAAATCTTGCGTCCTTGCCTCTGTTGCCCTGTGTGTTAAAAGTCTTAGCGACAAGGAAATTACTTTATAAACCTATGAAAGACTCTACAGTGCTTCGGCCTTCTTCCTAGTTTCATTGCTAAGATGATTAGAGAGCGTTTTTTGTCTATGTATAATTCCACCTTGCCTTTGTGTTATCAGTCTCTGTCCCTGCTCCTTCTTTGCTTGGCCTTTTTATTAAGGTTTTTCTGTTTGAAAGAACTGCAACTAATTGCCAATTATGCTTATCTTTGCCCTTGGCCTTTATTTAGTTCACATGAATGAAACAATATTTGCAGATTTATTGAGCAGAGCATGTAAATAATTCACATCATTTGCCAAAACTGGATGAAGCTTTGGTTATGTGCATAAGTGCAGAGAGAAACTCTGCTGCATGCAGGGTTACCTTCAGCCCTTTTAAACAATTCTGGTAAACAGCCTGTGCTGGAACAACAGGTCTGCTTTTCATTTGCCCAAGGTTTGAGGAAATCAGTTTATTTGAATGTCCTCAACGTGGTCGGTGCTTGGCATTGGGTGAATCATATTTATACATGAATGTTTGTGTTTAGATCTGTAAGGACTCAGCTCTTTTTAGCATTTACCTGGAATGTTCAATCCGGATAGAAGCAGAAATACCAAACATGTGTCTCTGCAGCCTTGAGACTTCACACGGCTCAGACTGTGTAGCGCTCAGCTCAGTAAACACAGTTTCCTCCTGCGGGCTTTTTGTTTGGACAGGAAACAAGGAAGCTGATCAAACACTGACTCCAGAAGGCCACAGCCAGACCGAGCTGGAATAGAGTTGCAAGTCTGTCAAACAGCATGAGGAGGACTAAATGACACTTTTAATGTTTAGATGCATTGGCTTGCAGCCCCACTGAGATCCACATTTGTACAGTCAGGGCAACATTTTCCCTAGATATTCTAATCCAAAACTATATACCAGTGTTACAAACACTGTTGAACTCTGATTGATCTGAACTGTTTGCTCCAGAGTTACAGCTGTGCCTGGATGGCAACGTGGTCTCTCAGTATCCGGGTTCAGGAGATAATGAGAATTAACCAAATGAATAGATGATGACTGATAGAGGAGTAGGATTAGAAGACCTAAATGAAGCAAGAGGTGTTTGTTATAGTTATACGGGGACAATGCTCCCCCCTTGTGACTGTTTATTAAACTGCAGAATATACAGGAAAGTCTGGAGTAATTCAGCATGTATATAAAATGGGAAAACTCGTGAAATAATTGTCGGTGAACTGAACTAAGTAAGTCATGAATGTAACATTAGACACAAAAAGATCAATAGATATAGATAACTGTGCAGAGAGATATTTTTTTCACATTTAGAGGTCCAGATTAAAATGCTTTTTATATCAGCTGAATCTTCTTTCTTACCCTCTCCTCATACTCATGGGTGGGCTGGGTGGTTCCTTCTTCTCAAGCTCGGGCCCTCTACCAGAGGCCTGGGAGCTTGAGGGTTCTTCGCAGTATCTTAGCTGTTCCTAGAGCTGCCCATTTCTAGACTGAGATCTATAAATTTTCTCCAGGTATCTGTTGGAGCCAGTTTTCAAATTTGGAGGTTAGTGCCCAGAGTGCTCCAAAGACCACGGGCCTTTCTGTTGCCTTTACTTTCAGGCTTTCTCTAGTTCTTCTATTAGACCTTTGTATTTCATCATTTGGCATGGCCGTACATTCATCACTACGACTGTCCTCTGATGCTTATCAATGATTGCAAAGTACGGTTGGTTGGCCACACTTGTTTTTTCTGTTTGGAACTGAAGTCCAGCAGGACCTTAGCTCTGTCATTCTCCACCACCTTGGGAGTGGACTCCCATCTTGACGTGGGGATCAACAGTTTATATTCTGCACAAATGTTTCTGTAAACTATACCAGCCACTTGGTTATGATGTTCCATCTATTCCTTCCCTCTCAGTCTTATACCCTGCTGTGAGATGTTGGATTAGTTTTGGGGCCTCTTTGCACAGCCTGCACCTGGGATATCTCCTGGTATGGTAGATCTGGGCCTCTAATGTTCTGCTGCTCAAGACCAGCTCCTGTGCTGCTGTGATCAGGGCTTCTGTGCTGTCCTTCAGCCTGACCCTCTCTAGCCATTGGAAGGATTTTTTAAATATCAGCCACTTCAGCTGTCTGTCAGTGGTACACTCTATGGAGGGATTTCTCTTCTGATAATGGTTCCTCCAGTTCCTTTATTTCCAGCTTCCACTGTCTGAGACATTCACAAAGCGCTTCATCCCTTTGTGGCAATCTTCCTGATGTATTTTTGGATTTAAGATGCGTCATCTTCAACAGTGGTTGCAATGCTCACTAGGCCTTTGCCTTCTTTTTTGGGCTTACTATACAGTTTGTGGATACTGGATTTGGGGTGAATTCCACATGCATTGTGAGTAGTTTTCATGTTTTAACAACAATGGCTTGTGTATATATG